CTTGCCATACGTTTATCCGTACGTGAAATTCACTCGCTTACTTGTTCTACTCTTAGCCATACATAAATCTTGTATGCTCACTAAGGGTCTAACCACCTTATTATTAGAACAACTAAAGTTTTATACAAAGTGAACAGCTATGCAAGCATAGCTCGTTTTTTCGAAGGGACCGAGGGCATATATAGTCGTGATCACGCACAACGGCCCTATGACAAGGGTGGAGTCAATCTCCTCGACAGATTTGAAAAAAGATAAGTAGCTCTAAACTTATTTGTGCCATGTTATAATGTTTCTAACTGAAATTCTATAACGGATGTAATTTTGGTTATGCCCTTTAAATTACATAGTGCCTCCCTTGAGGTGATCTAACGAAAAATGCGTACAGTTACAATAACATGTCTGAGAATGGCACAGTTGTACTATTTGATTTCGCAGGTCTTACAATAAGATAATTCGAGGAGCATCCTTTTCGAACCACGAAGCAACCCATTCCAAGGGCAATGACCTGCTCGAAAAGGAAGATAAGTGTTATTACCTCTTTGACATTTACATGCTCTATGGCTAGTATCTTCTTGCATAGATAGCATATCGATCTTGTTAATGTCGAGCCTCACGTAGACTATAAATCATCGACTGAGTTTATCATTAACCTAGTCTCCATACATGTAATGTGTAAATTTACTAGTCTTTGTATCACTACATTCATGATCAACCATTACCTATCTCTCACACGAATCAATTCTTAAGGTATAATCACAGTGTCGTGGCATGTATACTTTCTTGAGTGGAGAATAATTGCTATTTGCGATCTAGATTTTGACCATAGCACATTATGTCAACTACCTCCATATCTCTCGAAAAGTTGTTACTATATGATCTTGAGCATAGTTTTGCAGGGTCTTCTATTGCAAAAGCATGCTCGAGAAGTGGGAGAACTTCTTCATATTTTCGCAGAACTTGCAGAAAATCGAGAACGAAGATAGCTCCTCTATGATACAAGAGTATACTTAGGCCACAGTAGTCCCAGACAAATAAAGGACCAATATACGGTACATGTCAAGAACGAGCTCTGTTGACAACAATGAGGAACTTCTCGACAAATGGGTATTGCTGCTCTAACTTGCGGGTACCCCTGGAAGAGGGCCACGAGATAAGTAATACGTTATCCTTATGATATTATTGCCTAAATATATGAACATATGTATTACAATCTGAATGTTACGATAGTTCATTGAATAATTGTTTCTACATGACACATTAGACATATGTGTTTCGTGAGCCTCTACCGAGTCCTAGAAACTTTTGCATGCATACCTTTTGCACGAAAAGTCTTTCTCATATGCATGACTGCTTACATCATTGCGTATTAGTCATGAAGCATGATGCCACTGCTTTTACAAATATATGGCTCTGTTTACTCTCCACGAAGTAAATTTTTTGACCTATCTTAAACACAATAAGTCAATTTCATTTCCTTTGTTTTGAAAGAGGGTAGATACCCCTCTCATATTTATAGTTGTCGGTAATGTTCTCTAAAGGCCGTAGCGCAGGATGGTCTCCTTGATCCATGAGTCACAATAGGTCATTGTATCTACTCTACCGAACAACTAACTGGCAGCTGCCGTCTCGAGGCTGCAAGGGCTTTCACATCTGATGGCCCAGTTCCATGCCAAATCGCTATGACCCTTCAGGGGTTCGTAGTAAGTACAAATCCATGGAAAAGCATTGCACTATCTCCGAATCATTCTTTCATGATTGTCGTGAGTTAACCAAACCGTGGCTTCAACAGCCTTGCTTGTATCGAGGTGAAATCTTTCCACTTCTCACATTTCATGTCTCAAAATGGCTGCTTCTGAGGGGGTAGAGCCCCTAATAATATATTGTGTTGCACGTCAATTGTGTTGCACGTCACTTCTCGTGCTTCGATAATTTATTGCTCACTAATAAATCTACAAGTGCATAAATAGGTGTTTTGTCAGGATCAGAGAACCATCATGGTTTATCATGATGCCTGCACTCGAGAGGCATCACCATCACAATGTTACATCCTCGACAATTATTATGATAGGTAGGCTCAAGCGAGCCCTTCGAGTATGCTTCCTCAATCGAGGAGCATAATATTTTTCACAAGAATATTAAAAAGGTCTGAGAGCCTCTTTATATGCTGATCAGCTAAAGATCTCATTGTTTTTTGTAAACATGTTATTACTATACTTGCAATATATGTCTCGGACTAAGTTGCAGGATAACATACCCCAAGAACTCTGGGACAAAATAGAGAAGCTACATAACTCTCGCAACCAGTCCCTCAAGGATAGAAGCAACGTCAAGTTCGCTCCGACCTTAGGGCATTAATGTTTTAAACCCGGGATATAGACCATCGGTCTAATGCACATAATGGTAGCCTACTCGAGTACTCATGGGAGCTGGCGTATCACATATACCCAGTTACACCCAGTTAAACATGACTAGTCATTTGAACGGACATCCTCTTCAGGACCGTTCTCAGTACGGATATCCTCTTTAGGACAGTCCTCAAAAGTGCCGTGTATTCAACATCCGGACATTCGTTGGGTCATGCTACCCTTAACTGTTACGACTAACAGTCTAAATTCGAGGAGCTCGTACCCAGCTTCCTCGAGGATATCCTCTTCAGGATCGTCCTTAAAAAGGCATTCTCTTCAGAATCGTCTATACAAAGGTATCCTCTTCAGGATCGCCTGCAAAAGAGCCGTATACTTAACATCCGGCCATTATAAACGCTTTACAAATAACTCATAAGCCGTGTACTCGACATCCGGTATTGAGAAAGGCCTAGATTTTCATGACTATGAACAACGGGTGGACTATCCCTCAAAACTAAACACGTGTTTTACACCTCAATGAGAACTAGACTTGTTCTTGAGTATGCTCTATTGGATCGATCAACTATATCATCCAATGCAAATGACTTTATTCTCGATATTCTTGAGTCTACTTTGCGCCTTGTCAACACAGGCCTACTTCTTCGATTATGGTGGTTGCTATCTATCCCCTTCTGATAGACATCATTTTATTGCCTTAACCCTACAAGTATGGGGGCTTCTTGAGCAGGTATCACCTCGAACTGAGCAGCAAAAATTACACTCTCATACTATTCTTATCTAAAAAGTCTCGATCTGCCAAATGCCACCCCAAGACTTGGGGGCTCTGAGATGAGTAATGGTTCCGGGGTTATCTATAACGAGGAACGTTTATATATGGGAGAGTGTAAGGTGTCTGGAAGGTGTTTAAGGTGTTTGGGAGGTTGTGTTTTTGTTTTTTTTTTCCGAGGATCATTAGTGTACGGATCTCTTCCAATGACTATTCTCGGTGGTCTTCACTTAATGCTCAGACTGGGACATCGTTCCTTCTCACACTAATGCGTAATACCTCCTCGATTCTTGCGCAAGTCTCGAGCAACGATATTATACACGTGCTCAGGTTCGACACATCAACCTGATTTATATTTCTCAAACCCAGACTAAGGGTTCCATGCTTTATTTCTCGGGACATGAGAAATGGCAAGCGGGTCAGTTGGGCGGATATAAATAAGCTTAAATGCTTGTATACCTTCTTCAAGGTCAGATAAGTCGCAATTCTTGGGATTCGTGTGGAGTCCTACTCGAGAGAATCTTCTCGAATCTCACTATCCCAGCATTCACGTAATCGCACGGCATCTTCTACGGTGTCTTCTACTTTCTTCTGTTTCTCTCACTATCGAGGATTCATATGGTGACAGTCTCGACTCTCTAAATGCTCTACTAAGCTCGAGATGGACTTCTCGAGTCTTCGGATTATTCGGGGGCAAGTTCTCGACGTACTGACTCAATCCCAGACTGTTCTTTCAGACTTATGTTCTCGACATCGGGTATTCTGTCTTCATTCATTATACTTCTCGATCCACTACCCTGTGGTTACTCTCGAGGGTTTGAATTTATTACCTCTCGTTCAGAAGCATATGTCACAGTTCTCTAGTCAACTCATAATCTCGACAATAAGTATATCTTAGCCACTGCTAGTGACACACATATTGAGACTAGAGGGAATCTCCACTACATTTTCTTCTTGATTCTCTCAGCAGACGGGCCACCTGATTCGATAATTCATCATGCAAGGCCTTCTCGACTAACGTCTGGGTCAAACAGAATCTTCGTTCTGGCAGTTGTGTTTTCGAAAGTTATTGATAACACATCTCTGTGTTCAGTGCAATGGGAATCTCCATTACATTTCTTTATTACCTTTTCGAGCAAGAGGGTATCTGCCTTAGTATCTCTCTGGGGCAGAATGTTAAGATCATCGCATATCGATTTCTCAGTCGACAGTTTGAACTGATGACTCTTCTTTCTTCACAAATTGGTGTACATATCAATCGCCCTTTATGACACATACATTCGACAAGGTATGTGCTAATGCATTCATTACTTTGATTTCTCCTCGATGCTAACCTTTCGCAGGTTCTCGATTTAAGTCAGTTTTTCCCGAACTTGGGAACAATTTATACTTCATATTATCAAGCATATCCTATCTTCAAGCTTCGAAGTATAGGCTTGATAAGGGGCACTTGATGAGTCCAAATAGTACGGCCCATTACTAGGCCGGTCCAAGTTCGGTGAGCGGTCCAACCGGCCCCTGGAAGCTTCTAGGGCGGTTGTCAATTACTTTCCTACCGAGAAAAGATTTTATAATCTAGCTCTATAAATAGGGATCAATCCCTATTATCAAAGGTACGCTTTATGCACCCGATTTACACCCCTATTACAATTACTCTTACTGACTTAACCATCGGAGAGTCTACCCTCGGGAGACCCCAAAGCTCTGTCTTGCAGGTTTAGGGTTTCATAGCCGCTATGGCCACCGGATTCAATCCACTGAAGAAGTCGGTACGAATCCATCCTTCGTCAGCGACCTACGTCCTCCAATTACTACCTCTGGTTATTGGGGTGGGAGTAAAGTGAGGGGTTCCGTCATGAGTTGTGTTAATGGGTTGTTTTGTTTATACCAAAACGCTTGGCCGCGGACAGTGTGGCTTCATATATACTTGTTGTAATCCTTCCTTGCGACAATGCATTGTATTACCTCCTAGTAAGGATTTTGGGTATGGTCGTTTTACTTGCGCTTTAGGGTTTGGGTATGATTCCGTGAGTCAGGATTACAAAGTTGCCCGTGTACATCACTTCCCTTCATCACCCTATAAATTTGAGGTTTATAGCTTAAAAACCTACTCCTGAAGAACCCTCTTGTCGTCACCAGGAGTTGTTACATCCCCAAAGTATGACCAGAAATCACGTGACTTTATTATTGATTACGCAAGACCCGAGACTCCAGGCAACCATACGTGCCTATTCCATAATGGCTATCTCTACTGCATTAACGGCTCCGATGAAGATGACCGAGCTTGGATTTGCTACGTTCATCTCACAAAAGAACGCGAAAGCGGCAAGTTTTAGGTTCCAAAATACGTTGCCATTCGGCATACTACGCTGAGATGGTACAAAGGTTGCATCTCCTTGCTCGGGGTCTCGATGTTGAAACCTGATTATCAGTTTGAGCTTTGGTCGATGATGGATGATTCGCCTTCGACGTGGGTAAAGCGATTCGCCATACCGAGTGATTTCGGTTTCCAGCCTGTCTATAGTTTCACTGATGTCACTGTAAGTGGGAAGATTTTAGGGCTCATTGATGTGAAGCCGCTGAACCATCTCCCTTGCAGCCTTGCAGTTTTCGATCTCGAGACGGGACGAGTAGAAGTGGTGGTTGAAGGTAAAGCGCATCCCACATACGAGTACTTTTTAGTAGACAATTATGTGGAAAGCTTGGTTTCAGTTGTTGCTAACATTGTTCGTCGTATTAGTTGTTTTGGCTTAACTCGTCGCTGTTCGATAGTACCTAGAGTTTAAGGGTTTGGTCTCTGGAGGGGTTTTCTTTTAAAGGCTGTTTAATTTGCTTTCAAAGAGTTGTTGAGTTGATTTATGTTGTACTCCAAAACCTGATTACTTTTTATCTTTGTCGAAATCTCTCATATATTTTATTAAATTTTATTAATTTACCAGATCCTACTATATTAGAAACAAAAACCTCCCTTTCAAACACCTCATATGATTGCCACGTGGCATATAGAAAGTACTAAATTGCCCTTTTGTCTAAACCATAACTAAATTACTAAATCTCCCTTTGCACTTTACGTGACACGTTTTTTTTTTTAAAAAAAATTTCTTTATGTTTCATTCATTTACAGTGGTTTTTTAAGTTAAATTGATCAATTAGGTTTTTGTTACAAAGTGTCAATTTTGTTTTAAGCGTATACCCTGCGGATGAAGCTTATTACAAAGCTATTAAAAATCTCCAAAACTAAGTATTGATTTGGCACGACCGAACATCAATAAATCATCTTACTAATATTTAAATTTATTAGGATACTTTTATATTTTATCTAACATTTACTTCAATACATATATTCGATTAAGGCTATTTATATTTAATAAGTAACACTTATAAAATATTTCTATAACTTACATGGCGAAATACAATTTCTTTTTTTTTTGTAAAATACAATTATTTCTATGATCACATTTATAAAACATTTCTAAATCCTTCAAACATTTCTAAAATATATCGCTCCAAATACAAAATTTTATTTTTTTTCAAATAAAAACATTTCTAAGATTTACAGATAGATTGGGCCAGAGTCGCGCATTGCGCGACCAGACATCACTAGTATTTTTTAGATGTGAATACGCTCAGCAGTTGATTAATGAAATGAAAGCTTGGCTGGGGATAAGGAAGTATATAAGGAAGCTGAGAATGCATGAGTTACAGGCTGTATGGAAATCGAAACCAGTAAGGCAGCAAGTACTATATGCAAGTTTGAATGCACTAATAAGATTGGTTTTCTATTTTGGTTTGACCGAATAGGCCGAATAATCCGAATACTCGAATTTGTTAATTTTGAAGGCCCATATAAGCCCACGTGTAGTTCCATCTTAAAATCAATTGGCAATGAGTGGAGTAGCACATGGGTATGTTGATCAAGCTGGCTTCCCAACTCAAATGTGAGACATGGGAAGTTGGGCATATCTCAATATTATTCTCAACACCCTCTCTCAAGTCCGAAAAGGTTGGACAGTAGAAGCCCATATTAAGTAAAGTCTAACCGGGCAAAGTAGAAATAGAAAACCCAAATGGGTAAGTAAAGCCCAATCGGGCAAAGTAAAAGACTGTCACGCTTTAGCTGTCCGCTTGGATTTTTAATTTTGGTAAAGTAATTAGTGACGTCAGCAGACTCCAGATGAGAATCCAGAGCTGCTCGTTCTTATCCTCCTTCCTATTTTCTGGAACCTTCAACTTCTAGAAGTGATCCGTTTTCTTGTTGTTTAGTAATTTAAGATTCCGTTAACGTTAACTGGAGCGTAAGACGGAGTCTGCCAGCTATATTATGTACTCTACTGAAGAAATTGGAAATCATCTATGAAACTACTGTTATCCGATTTCTCCCTCTATTTCTTCGGTTCTCCCCCTTTTCTGATCTTCCCCCTCCTTTTCTGATCTTCCCCCTCCTTTGATGATTCTCTCTCTTCCGTCATAATCTGTAATTTTAAGGGTTCAAATAGGTCGGTGGCTGACAATTGGTAATGAGAGCTCGGATTCTCCGACTGTGGGTAACGATGGTCGAAACAAGATCTGATGAGCAGATAAAGAAATTTATCCGTGAATCGGTCTCGATAGTGGAGAAAAAGGTTGATAATAACATTCAATCTTTGGATATGAGGATGATTAACATGGATAATAGCATTATGGGCATAAAAGCACAACTAGAAAACTACCAGGAGAGTACAAAGGCACATTTGGAAAAGATTGAAGCTTGGATGCAAATCATGGTAAAGGAGAAATTTGCATTCAAAGGAGAGAGTTCATCTTCTGAGATGGAGAAACCCGGAATACTGCCTTCACCGGATAAATCCTCCAAGGTAGTTATTGAGGAAGAGTCACCAGGGGTTAACAAAGACAAAGGGAACAAGTTTAATTGGGGATACAACCAACCCAGAGTATAGATGAGCCATTTTGAAGGAGATAATTCCCAAGAGTGGATTAGAAAGTGCCAGAAATATTTCACTTTTTATCAGATCCCAGACCACTTGAAAGTAGAAATGGTGGAGTTCGTGCTGAACGGCAGGGCTGAAATTTGGTTTGAAGGATTCAGAACCGGAAAGGGCGGAATAACTTGGGAGAATTTTAGTGAAGCCTTGGTGAAGAGATTCGAAATCAAAGGGAGCAGAGACGAATTCGAAGAGTTTAATAAACTTCAACAACAAGGCTCAGTGTTGGAGTATATAGAACAATTCGAGTTTCTGAGATAAAAAATTCTCACCAAAGATCCCAGGCTGACCGAGCCTTACTTCATTTCCAGCTATATCAGTGGTTTAAGGGAAGAAATTAAACCCATCGTCAGGATGATGAAACCGGTTACCTTAATAGAAGCAATGGATATTTCTGTACTGCAGGAAACTACTCTTGATCTCCAGGCAAAAAGGTTGAAATTTCCAGGGAGCAGTGTGCAAAAACCGCCAAATAATACAGGTAAATCACTTACTCCCCGGGTGGCATGGAGACAGGAAGATCAAAAGTCTCACCCTAACCATAATAAATTCAAAAGAATCACCCCTCAAGAAGTGCAGTATAGGAGAAACCATAATCTAGGTTACAAGTGTGGTGAAAAGTATGGTCCCGGGCATCAGTGTAGCATGAGCAAAGTTTATTTTGTGGTAACTGAAGAAGAGGGGATAGAAAACTCTGATTTGGAAATCTTTGAAACCCTGGATGAGGAAATTATCACTGAAGGAGTGAGACGACTGCACCTAAATGCTCTGGATGGTAAAGAAAAGAGGAAAACAATCATAGTCAGGGGTAGGATAAGAGGAAAATGGGTGAATATTCTCGTTGACACGGGAAGTACTTCTAGTTTCGTAGATCCCAGTGTGGTTAGAGCTTTGTCCCTTCATTATCACTCAATGCAGCCCTTCTGTATCAAAATGGCGGATGGAAATGTCAGTATGGGTTCATACGTGTGTCCTGAAGTTTGCTGGGATATACAACAATACGAGTTTGCCTTTGACTTCAAGGTAATGGACCTCAGTGGATTGGATATCATTCTGGGAGTAGATTGGATGTCCCACTTTAGTCCTGTCATTTTTTATTACAATAATGACAATATATAGCTCGCCAGAGGACCGAGGAGATATGTGTTATATGGAGGTACTCAAGATCCTTCTGTAAACATGATCAGGCAAGGCAATCTAAGAGAATACCTGGAGGTCAAGAAGAGGAAGAGATACTGTAAAACCCTTTACCAACCCGAAAGGAGCTTATCATTGGAGGATTCAAAGAAAGGGGTATTACCTGACCGGTTTGAAAAATTACTTGAGCAGTATCAATCAGTGTTTGCAGTCCCCACTGGAATGCCACCCAAGCGAGAGACAGAACACAACATTGAATTGAAGCCAGGAGCTCAACCCTTCAAAATTAAACCATACCGTTATCCGCACTCTCACAAAGATGAGATCGAGAGGCAGGTGGACGAAATGATGGAGAACAAGATCATACAACGCAGCACCAGCCCGGTTCTGTACAGACTACAGGAGGTTAAACGACTTGACCATCAAGGATCGATACCCGATACCGGTGATCGAAGAGCTCTTGGATGAGTTGGGGGGGTGCCAGTTGTTTCTCCAAGTTGGATTTAAGATCCGGGTACTTCCAGATTAGGATGAGGCCACAAGATATACCCAAAACGGCGTTTCAAACACACCACGGGCATTTCGAGTTCCTAGTCATGCCTTTCGGACTCACCAACGCCCCAGCAACGTTTCAATCCTTGATGAATCATGTCTTCAAGGGTTTGCTCAGAAAATGTGTGCTAGTGTTTTTTGACGACATTTTGGTGTATAGTAGATCCCAAGGGGAACAATTTGGAACATTTGAAATTGGTTTTTCAAATTCTACAGGATCAACAGCTCTTTGCAAAAAGATCCAAGTGTGTGTTTGTTGAAAAAAAAGTGGAGTATCTTGGACATGTTATATCATCCCAAGGGGTTAGTATGGACACCGGAAAAGTTAAATGCATTCAAGATTGGCCGATACCTACAAGTGTGAAAGAACTTAGGGGATTTCTTGGTCTAATCGGCTACTATAGGAGGTTTATCCAAGGTTACGGGATCAATTGCCGGCCACTCACCATACTGTTACGGAAGGATGGGTTTTTATGGAATGAGGAGGCCACGAAAGCATTCGATAAATTGAAACAGGCAATGGTAACAGCTCCAGTACTAAAATTACCGAATTTCTCGAAACCTTTTATCATCGAAACTGACGTGTGTGATTCGGGGATGGGAGCAGTACTGCTGCAAGAGCAACACCCTATTGCATTCCTAAGTATGGCGTTCAGTACCAAGAATATGGGGCTTTCGGTTTATGAAAAAGAATTATTGGCAATAGTCATGGCGGTGTCAAAATGGAAGCATTATATAGTGGGTAACCACTTCATTTTGAAAACTGATCATCAGGCTTTGAGGTACCTCCTAGAGCAAAAGCTTTCGACTGCTATGCAGCACAAATGGCTCACCAAGCTGCTTGGCCTTGATTACGAAATTCAATACAAGAAGGGAGTCGAGAACAAGACGGCGGATGCATTATCCCATCTACAGAATTCAAGGAAAACGGAAGTAGCAGAACCAGTAGTGAGTGAGCTAAAATGTCATGCCATTTCTTCAGTCCAACCCCTCTGGATGCAGGAAGTGGAAAAAAGCTACGAAGGAGATGTAAAAGCACAGCAATTAATAGCGGAAGTTACTCTCAAACCATCAGAAAGCAGAGAGTTCCAATTTGTGAATGGGATTCTCAAGAAATCAGACAAGGTTTACATAGGCAGCCAAGGAGGGATCAGACAATCTATTATGGAGGCTATGCATTCTTCATCTTTGGGGGGCCACTCAGGACAAACGGCAACCATACAGAGAGTTAAATCCATTTTCTTCTGGCCGGGAATGAAACAAGAAATTGAAGAGTTTGTAAGATCCTATGATGTATGCCAAAGAAATAAGAGTGAACACATGCCATATCCCGGTCTACTACAGCCACTTAATATTCCCCAGCAGGCTTGGCGGGATATCTCGATGGATTTTATCGAAAGATTGCCACCATCGGAGCAAGGAAATGACACCGTCTTAGTGGTGGTAGACCGAATGACCAAGTACAGCCATTTCTTTGCCTTAACTCACCCTTTTTCGGCAACAACAGTGGCAGAGCTCTTCCTGAAAGAAGTTTACAAGCTCCATGGGTTGCCGGAGACCATTGTAAGTGATCGCGATAAGCTGTTTACGAGTCACTTCTGGCAGGAGCTCTTTAGATTGTTGAATGTGAAGTTATGTATGAGTACGTCCTATCACCCATAAAGCGATGGCCAAACTGAGAGGGTGAACCAGTGTCTCGAAACATACCTCCGATGCTTCGCCGGAATCAAACCCTCCAGTTGGAGCAACTGGCTACCTCTCGCCGAATGGTGGTACAACACTACCCATCTCAGTAGCCTAAACATGTCCCCCTACGAAGCTTTATACGGCTGTAAGCCTATTCACCTTCCTTTGGGGCCTTATCAGGATCTGGTTATACCAGCAGCTGAAAACATGATAGAACAGAGAAAAGTGGTATTACAAATCCTAAAAGACCAATTGATGAAGGCACAATCGAGGATGAAATTCTACGCTGATATGAACAGAACCGATCGCGTACTGCAAGTAGGGGAATGGGTATATCTGAAACTCCAACCATTTAAGCAACAATCGGTGGAGGTAAGAAACTCACTGAAGTTGGCTTCCAAGTGCTATGGTCCATATGAGATTCTGGAAAAAATAGGCACTGTGGCCTATAGACTTAAGCTTCCTGATCAAGCTAGGATTCACCCGGTGTTCCACGTCTCGCTCCTCAAGAAGCACATTGGGAATCGACCGGTCTCAGCCGCTATACCACCGGATTTTTCCCAGCACGAAGAATGTTCCCTGTATCCAGTGAAGGTGCTGCAATGGAGGATGATCAAAAGGAACCAATGTAATGTGGTGCAATGGCTGGTACATTAGAGGGGTTTAGGGATGGAGGATGCATCGTGGGAAGATAAAGATTTCATCGTCAAGCAATTCCCAAATTTCAAAGCTTGAGGACAAGATTTTGATTGAGGAGAAGGCAATGTCACGCTTTAGCTGTCCGCTTGGATTTTTAATTTTGGTAAAGTAATTAGTGACGTCAGCAGACTCCAGATGAGAATCCAGAGCTGCTCGTTCTTATCCTCCTTCCTATTTTCTGGAACCTTCAACTTCTAGAAGTGATCCGTTTTCTTGTTGTTTAGTAATTTAAGATTCCGTTAATGTTAACTGGAGTGTAAGACGGAGTCTGCCAGCTATATTATGTACTCTACTAAAGAAATTGGAAATCATCTATGAAACTACTGTTATCCGATTTCTCCCTCTGTTTCTTCGATTCTCCCCCTTTTCTGATCTTCCCCCTCCTTTTCTGATCTTCCCCCTCCTTTTCTGATCTTCCCCCTCCTTTGATGATTCTCTCTCTTCCTTCATAATCTGTAATTTTAAGGGTTCAAATAGGCCGGTGGCTGACAAAGACCCGAACGGGTAAATTAGACCCAGGATATACTGCCGGGTCAATCAAAGCCCGCCCCACAAGTCCCACAGATCTGCGGATAAAACCTACTCTGATACTATCTTGAAGGCCTATATAAGCCCACATGTGGTTCCACCTCAAAACCAATTGGTAATGAGTGAAGTAGCACATGGGGTATATATATTGATCAAGTTGACTTCCCAACTCTAATGTGGGACAAAAGAACTTGGACATATCTCAATATTATTCTCAACAGTTAATTCGGTTAAGATAAATGAATATCAAACAGTGAATCACTAATTGATTAGCTTTATTATGAATTTGAATCCGAATATCCCACTGCCCAAACTCGAATAACATGAAACCCGAAATTGTTCTCCAAGCAACATGCTGAATTTCAGGATATGGTCGATACAGTTATAGAATAATTTATCGTAACAAACTGCACATGAGGAAAAAAAAAATGACTCTGCTTTTACATGAAGCTGTTCTTGCGACTTTTCCATAAGAAAAAGAAAATTCATTTTATAGAAAGTTTTCATTGAAAACAATAGGAAATGTATCAGGATTATGAACAATGTGAGAGGAAGTTTACTTTGGGGGATAAAAAAAACCCCGCTACAGATTAAATTCATTTTTCCAAAACCAGGGTAAAGGCCGGCCAGATCAGAATCTTGGTTCCATTAGTAGGTAAGACCATTAATAATTTAACTCCCATCATAACAGCGATTATATTATTTTTAAAATAGTGTGACAAAATGAATCATTTAGATAGGACGGAGAAGTAACAATTATATTTATAAAAGAAAAGGAAAAAGGTAAAGAAAACATATTAGAGTGAAGTACATGGGATGCACGATCCTTTATTGGTTGAGTGGCAGCTGTATAATGTAGGATCAATTGTCTTTAATTTCTTAATGAAAACTCACATGTTCATTCATCCTACCCACACACACACACACACATAATCACAAACACGGAGATAATGAGATAATCATTAAAGCAATACCCAGACAGCATTGGCAAACAAGAAGATTGTGGAACTTGCAGAAAGTGGCCTTCACTTTTTTTTTTTTTTTTTCTCTTGAATATTCATTTCTCAGACCCTTTCATCATTGCACTACACAATTTCCCCTGCTTAATTTGTTCATTTTGCCCTTTAGTTCTTTTTTCTTTTCTCTGTTGTTTATGAGACTACTGGAAAACAAAGTCATCAGAAACACTGCATCAAAAAATCATCAAATAGTACTGGATTCCCCCCTGTTCAATGTCCATCCAAAATAGACGTTTACTCAAGATTATAGTTATTGGTGACAGCGGGTAAGATGATATATAAATATATATATATATATATATTCACTTTTCAGTCTTGTAAATATTTTAGCATTTTTGGTTCTTTTTAACAAATGTATATTTGGTGGTTGAAATTTTTCAGGGTGGGAAAGACATCTTTGATGAGTCAGTATCCTTTTGTATTTTTAGATTACGATTTTTGTACGATTTTAGTTCAACAAATACGACTTTTGATATAAGACAGAAGGAAAATGGTTTGGTTCAATTAACTGCAATAAAAAATTAGATACGTAAACAAAAAGTTTATCCACTTACATAGAGCAACAATTGGAGCTGACTTTCTCACCAAAGAGGTACAATTGGATGGCAAATTAGCCACCTTGCAAGTAAGTACTAGGTGATTAAATCAACAAAATGTCAACCATTTTGTTTAGAGATCAATAAATGAACATTGATCTATTAGTTCTGAGATCTTGATAAATTTCTTTTGCTTTTTCAGATATGGGATACTGCAGGGCAGGAAAGATTCCATAGCCTTGGAGCTGCATTTTACAGAGGAGCTGATTGTTGTGTTCTGGTTTTCGATGTCAATCTTCTCAGATCATTCGAAACACTTCAGAACTGGCATGAAGAATTCCTCAAGCAGGTATTGATCATAAAACCCTTTTGATTTCTACCTTCTAGTCATAATTCATTACGGTTCTACCTTCTTTCCAATCCACGCACACATTTTTTTCTCTCTTAATTCGACTCGAAATATCGACGAAATTGAGTATCTAAAATCCCTTTTTTTTTCTTGCTTCATGTTGATCCAGGCTGATCCAGCGAACCCAGAGACATTCCCGTTCGTGCTAATTGGAAATAAGGTGGATATAAACGGCGGGAGCTGCAGAGCCGTAAGAAGACTCTGTTTCTTTGTTAGCTTAAAAAAAAAATTAAAAAAAAAAAGAAAAAAGAAGCCCAATTAATAAGCTATGATCCAATATTGGTGCAGATTTCTGAGAAGGTGGTCAGGGAATGGTGTGCTTCCAGGGGAAACATACCTTATTTTGAGACCTCAGCTAAAGAAAATGTCAATGTTGATTATGCCTTCATTTCCATTGCTAGAATTGCCCACGCTTATAATCATGAACATGAACAAGATATGTAAGTCGTGTTTTACTTGAAAATATCATATCCTTATCTTTACTACAAATTCATTACGTTTATACGACATCTGTCATAAAATAACAGTCACATTTTGTTTTGTACCGTCTTAGTTTAATGTATAACACTCTTATTTTGAGACGCATAGACAATGATATTCTCTTTCTCTACACGGGGTTGCCTTTGGCTCATATGATTTTCTATGGTTTCAGTTGGCCTCCTTTTGAAGAAGCTCCATCTCATTGGTAAGTTTGTCAACCATTTAGTGTAATGATTTGGTCTGATCATCGACAAAGTAATATGGTCATTTGATTTGCAAATGCAGCATAACTTTAAAAAAATATAAAATTTAATGTCATTCTAAAAAAAAATACTAATAATAATAAAAGAAAGATAGAGGAAAAATTATGTTCAGTTACAACCTTTGTATTTCGGTTCAGCAATCTTTAGTTATATAGTTGTTTTAGTTCAACAATCATTACTTGAATTTCAGGAATGAAGAGGATATGATAAATTATTATTTCGACAATAGAAACGTTTTTCCACTACTAATAGCTCTACGCCTAGGTGACTGGATTAGTTTACCGACTATTTATATTTTTGAAATGAAATTTGATTAACAAAGTGTTTTTATTTGTTTTTTTTTTTCTTTTTGTTTTCTTTTGGCAGTGATCTCCAACGGGTTCCAGAATCATTTTCAGGAATTGAGCAAACTCAGAGAGGCGGATGCGCTTGCTAACTTCAAAAGAAAATTTTAACAAAAATCTACTAATAATTGGGATAATTTTAATCCTTGCATATTTCACTTATTTAATTGATTCCCGTACTAGGTTCAAATCTTACCAAACTGTATGAATATCACATGATTTTTTATTTTTATTTTTTTGGAAAATAGATATCATACATGTTCCCTAAGCTGAAGGAATTAGGATATTTTTCAATAATAAACTGTAATTTATTGAAACTTAATTTTAATCTCCTATGAAAATTATGAAAAGTACGTTTTACTTTCTAACTCAAATACCATGTTCACGCTTTTTATTGTTACCATCGATCCATAAAAGTATTTGCCCGACAATCATTTTGGAGATTAAATATAGAATAAACGAATGCAATACTTTATTCCTTGATAAATAAGTAAATAAAATAGAAATAAACATACATGATTTTATATTTAATTTGTATTTCCTTTCTTTCTAATTTTTGATTATCCATTTCTTATCAATCACTAAGGATAATGGTTAAAGAAAATGTAAAGGTGGAGTACCAAAAAACAAAAACAAAATTTCTAGTAAATATCTCAAAACAGTAGTCATGTATCTAAAATGTTATTTAGTTTAGTAACCAAAACCATGATTTTTGGATAAAGAATGTTATGTGAAGCGTATTACTCCCCGTTTCAAAAAAATAGTCTACACTGTAGACTATTTTGAGACGGAGGTAGTATGTAACTCATAAGAAGTAGATATAAAAAACAAAAAAAAAAAGAGAGAAAAATACTAATTTTAGTTATTGATGGCCCAGGAAACTGGATTAGTAACTTCATCAATTTTGATTTTTCTTTTTTATGATGCCGTGATTAAACTATGAGAATTACGAATCAGAAATGTAGATAATTATTGAAATTGCTTCATGTTTACTGATTGATTCTTGTAATAAAAACATTTAGGGTTTAAAGATCGAATTTCATTTGTAATGAGATCTTATGACATATGTGAAGGGTGATAATGACTTATTATTAATTACAAAATTCATTGAAGAAGAAAGAGTATAAGAACCAGAAAATTCAACAGTGAACATCCTAGGGGAAAAAAAGACAAAATTACCAGTAGAATAGTAGATCGGTACAAGTAATCCAAGATTGACTCCTATGAACACAAATTTCCCAAAATATCATCCCCATCCTTCGATATAAGCCTCAAACAATACAAAAAAAATAAAAATTTATAAACCTCAAAAATAAAAAGCACAAATAATTCATTCCACGTGGCCCACGCTAAACTTTTTTTTTTTTTAATAATGATTTATTTCGTTTCCATTTTCTGTACTATTATATAATAGTAATTTTTTAAAATGAAAATTAGAAAAATTGTGACTATACTAACTCCTGGTGTTTTACTTTCATTTCTTCATTTCTCAAGATTAGCACTTTGGAACCCCCCAGAAAGGCAGAAATGGCGTTCTCCCCAGCTACCTCAATCTCAAATTGCCGGCTTCTGGGCAAAAACAGTTCAAATTTAAGCATCCCTTTTCAATCCCAATCTTGTATTTCATCAATCTCCTTCCCAAAATCTACATCACTTAGTTTTCTCAGCCGTAGAAAGAATTTCTTGTCTATCAAAGCATCTGCCTCTGTTCAAGGTAAATTTTTCCTTTTTTTTTTCGTCTGTGGTTGGTTTTTGTTTCTGTTATAATGTTTCTCTCTTCTTCCGTGATGATTCATTTTATGTTTCTTTTGGAGGCCTGGTTTTGAGATTTGGGGCCGGGGCAATTCATGGCTCCGATGAAGGGGAAATTCATAGTTTTAGTTATTTGTTAGGTTGATTTTTACGGCATTCAGCTAATGATATCACTGATGATCGCATAGTTTGAACTTTGGGATGATTGGATTATTGGTCTAGATAGTTAATTTTAAAATCCATTTTGAAGTCAGTGGTTTTATTAAGTTTTCTTCGGCTTTGGATGAACCTTAGTTACCGTTATCATAGTATGTTTATTTGTTTTGATTAGCACATAGAGACACTGAAGTATTTAGGATTCCTATTTTTGTGTAGTATTGGACTTAATTTAGCCCTGCTCATTGTTTTTGTAAGTGCACGAGTTTCCTGTTTTCAGAAAGGAACTATTTGAACTTTACCTGGAACGAATTCTTCTAAAACTCTGAAATTTCGACACATTCCTTAGTTCTTTCCTGTTTGATCGCGGTGTTCTTTATTTGGTTGGATATTCCCACTGGTTTTGTTCCTGTTTGGTATTTGATAAGTGAGGTGTAGTTCTGTTGTGGAGATTGAATTTCTGCCAGCAATGGAGTTGGGAGATGCACTTTTAGGTAAAGAGCATGATTGTAGGTTATTCTAGAAAATTAGGATAATAAAGTATGCTGCTTTGACTTGTCTACCTTAAGAATTGTGGAGATGAGCTACCGTGCCTGTCTTATTTTCTCTAAGGATCAATTCCTTTGCACTTGACATCTTTTTATTTAGTAATTCCCATCGTCTATATTGCTGTGTGTCCTGAGTTTGGCTTGACTATGATGTTCATTGTAAAAATTGGCATAAATTTTAGCCGACTGCCTTATTCACCATGGTCCTTTCTGCTATGTTTGTTGGATTGGTTTTGTGAAAATGTCTCGCTGAATTAATTCTAGTTAACTACGTCGGTATTTGTTTGAACAGCTCTTTAAAAGGATTACACCGAGAAGCGTATTAACTACAAGTCCATTAGTGAATGGCCATAATATTGAAATGATCTAGGACAATGTGAAAACTTCTAATTATTGACATCAATATTTATCTCTTTTCCTACTGCTCATTTGCCTAAAAGTTGCCATCACCCTTCATGACTTATTCATAATTCTCTTTCAAGTCCTTTGATCAATGGATATGATTGACAAATTGAGAATAGTCCTATGGACTACCATTATAGTACTGCCAACTTAACTGTGCAGAGATGTATATAACTGCTTTGATAGCAAGTAGAGGAAAAGAAATCTATAGATGTTTGTTTTCGTGATTGATACTATAGTTCTTATTCAACGCGATTGTTCAGTTTTGAATCGAAGATGCTAAGTTTACGGTGGGTTGTCTTTTAGAATATGTGATTCGTGGTAGAAATTTTCCATAGCAGTTGATATTTTTGTCTCTTCGTATTATTGCAGCACCACCAACATCTGGGGGGCTTGCACCTGCAATTTCCTTGTCGGACAATGCTCTGAAGCACTTGAATAGGATGAGATCTGAGAGAAATGAAGACTTGTGTCTAAGAATTGGGGTAAAGCAGGGTGGATGCTCAGGGATGTCTTACACTATGGAATTTGAGAAAAGAGAAAATGCTAGACCTGATGATTCTATCATAGAATACAATGGTTTCATTATAGGTATGTCTCACCCTTATTAAGGAAGCTTCTTTAGCCATCACTATGTTGGCTCTGTAACTTACCATGTTTCTTCACTCCATTTTATCCTATATGTTAGTACTTTTCTCCTCCAGATTTCATGGTTCTTTTCATTATCTTTTTGCCGTCCACACTTTTACTTCTTTCCAGAGATGACAAGTGTTGCCGTAGTTTAAACTCTGATGGGCATGCTATTGTTATACTCGCCCTCTAGTTTTTCAAAATTGTTTTCCTAACTTTTAGGGGGTTTGTCTTATTATTGATTTGCCTTGTTTATTTATAAGTATGAACCATGTGCTTAATGTGAAGTTACACATTTTTGGTTCTGCTGTTACCTTGTTAATACTAAAGCTTTAACATGCATGCATTGCTTAGTTAGATATTCCAGGTTGATTTTAGTTTTAGTGTCAAGTTTTATGCTTCAGGAGTCCTTTTAGGTGGTTCAAAGCATCTAAACTAGTTGATTAGAACTGTTATATTGCGTTATTTTTAGATGAAATAGGGGTTGGTATATAAGAGATTGGAACTACTACTGATATTGTTTAATAGAGGCTGATGTAGTGACTCTGAAAAAACCTTGGAAATGTTCTTACAGTCACTCACTATACACAATGCTTTGAAAAGAACTTTCCCATGATGCTATGTTGCAAAAAATAAATCTGCGGAACCCAGTGAAACGTCTTGATATGGTACTGTAAGAAAATTAAACTATCTGGTTGATAACAATGACATGAAAGGGATTGTTTATTGCAACTGCTGGATGGGATATGCCTTTTACATGATCTTGGATTCAATTTGTTCTAGTAGCTCATTGGCTTTCTATTGCATGTATGGGGGATTGTTAAAGGAGCAAGTTCCTCCAAATAACAGTAAGAAGTAACGTTGGAAATTGTTCGAGAACATATTCTTTTCATCTACCTGTGAAATTTTAACTTTAACTTGTACTGCTTATAACCTGATCTTGATAGAGAGAGAAGAAGAAGAAACATATAAATGATGTGTTCTATAGGTATTGCTGTAGCCAATAGTAGAAATGAATGATTATTCTAGCTGCATGTTATGGATGGCAACTAGCTTCCCTGTCTCATGATTTTTTGACACCGATAACCTGCTCTTTTCTGTCAACTTAATGCAGTTTGTGATCCCAAAAGCCTTTTATTCATCTTCGGAATGCAACTGGACTACAGTGATGCCCTCATAGGTGGTGGCTTCTCTTTCAAAAACCCAAATGCTACCCAAACCTGCGGTTGTGGTAAATCATTTGCTGCCTAAATATGGAAATGTGTATAAAAGAATATAAACAGGATGTCTTAAAGACTCCTAGTAGTTAGGCTAGTTTAGATAGGAATACATACTTTTCGGATTGGATAAATTTTTTCTTGTCAAACATAATGTGGAGTTTCAGCCCTTATAAATTGGACATTGCTGTGAAGATGCTGTAATTACACTACTGTCGTTGCAAGACATGAATCTTCTGTACTTCCAACCCACATGCAGTTTGTGCAGCATCGATCTGTTGCTGTGTTTGTAAATTTTGCATCCGTCATTGTTCCGTGTGATGCATGCGAGAGAAAATACGAAACTTAAGAGCATTTCGGATGTGAAATAGACCTATCTTCTAAACATTGAAGTTTTTGGTGAAGTCCTCATTCTAATAAGAGCTGACATTCTAACTGTGTATGACTTCCCTGCAAGAACAGTTTCTTTTCATTTGACAATCAAAACAAAGTTAGCCTCCATATAGATTGATTTTGCTCGGATTTCACCTAGAGTAATCATGCTTGCAAGATCCACATTTGTAGCAGAACCGAAATCCGCACCCTTGCGACTTCTCCACGAAGATCCTGCATCCAGGACGCCTTTGCCACTTACTGTCCTGGGCTATATTCAGCAGCATGGTATCCTCTTTTTCCCATTCATCCTTGTTCAGCTCTTAAAACTCCGAACACGAAATCCCCAGAGGCCATGGAACTCTGCACATTGCACAGAACCTCTTCCAACAACTCGTGCACTCTGCCTCGTCGCATTCGATTCTATCATCAATTGGAAAAGGAGCCGAACAATCTTTATAGGGATAGTAAAATCTTTCAGAATCCAGAATCATTGCTTCACAAAGAGCATCACACCATTTATCAAACAATTGGGAAGGCAAGATCGAACCACAATCCTCAAGCTCTAATCGTCCATTACATCCCTCCGCATCAGGACATATCAAATTAGTGTCATTTCCTTGCAATTTTGCGGACACATATTTGGCTATACAATCACAACAGTAAGAGTGAGTACAACTTTTCCATCAATACAAATATCGCATAGGCGTGCAGCATCAACAGTGTCATCTACAATAATAATAGGCTTAGGTTTATAATTTGAAGACTTGCCTTTACATCTCTTTCTTTGTGTTATTGAACTTGCTAGAATTTCTTGAATATCATCATCATCATCAACATCAACATTATCTTGACGATCAAAACTGAAATAATCATGGCAAAGATCAATTACCCTTTTAGGCCTTCTTTCTGTAGTAAGACAGGCCATGATTTCATAGTTTATTACTAGTTAGCATATTTCGAGTTCGACCAATATCTCCATAATTTGAAATCAAGTTTTTCTCCAGGATGATTTTTTTTTTCATATTTACAGGTTGTTCACTGTCGGTAACAGTGATTAATTCCCTCGCTGAATTGTAGGCACCTCGATGGGTGGGACAACTGGCCAAAATATTTAAGATTTGCTCCATGCGAGGTTCGAATCCTCGACCTATGGTTAAGGGTAGAGGAGTACCTTCCACTCCACCAGAACTACTTTGGTTCCAGGATGATTAAAATTGGGTCAGTGATATTGCCAGGACTATTTTTAGCCTCCAAATTAAAACTTGTGTTGCTTTCTGAAAGTACCCTTATAAAGTCAACCCACTATTTTAATTTTTTTTCTTCCTTTGACGCCTCTCTCTCGTTAATTTCCAGCTCCGCTGAACTTTCTCCGATTGCCTGCCTAAATTCTCTCCGTATCAATTTCCCTCCAAAACTTTTCAGCAATCTCCCTCCAAAAAAAATTAAATTAAGGAGCGCAATGTCAGGGATAATAGTTTACAATCAGCATCTTCATCTATATTGGGTAGTTCTAATTTATTATCACTTTAAATAAAGGAAAAGTTTATGGACACGAACAAAAAGCCCTAAGTTGAAAAGTTTCTTGTTCTTTGTGTTGTTCAATATGCAATTATACTAAGTAAGCTCTTTAATGCTTTGATGTTGGTTTACTTTCTGACTTTGGTTTATGAGTAAATTTGCATTTGATTATTGAGATAAAGAAAAAAATAACCAAATGAGTCTACTAAATATTCACGTGATTTTTATGGATTGGTTCTTGAATTTAATCTACACATGGTCATATTTTATGCTTTGTTTTTTAGAGAAAGGCAGTATTCTAGTCCCCTTTTAGGATCAATCAATTATTGTTATATTTGTGTGATTGAAGGGACTTTTTTCATGGTATATGATATGTTTTTCTCCTAATTTATTGATTATCATTGTACGGTAATTCATAATCATAACATTAGGTACTTTCATTATGTAAATGATTGATTAGAATTAATAGTTTGATATTGTTTGAGAGGAAAATAAGATTTTTTTTTTAATTATTATTGAATCTGTTGTATTGCAGCTTGTTATCACTGCTCCTAAATCATCTATTTATTCACCTAGTTGTTGATTTGTTAAATACAGTAACAGAGTCAGTGTTCAGATGTGATTATAAAAAATCGAAAAGATTGCGGTGTGTGCTTAGTCAAATTCAAGGCAATGCACAAGGTTGATTAATATTCTCACTTGCATATGATCAATAGCTTTCATTCTTTTGTTTTTTGTACAGCTCCGGTTGAGAGCTCATGGCCCAACATAATATTGAAGAGAATAGATTATTCATATCAGCTCCTACCATCATTCAAAAGAATGCGGCGGCAGTGGACACAACTAACCTACTTGCTACCACGTACAGTTCTTGCGAGGATCTCATAAAAGCAGCGAAAGAATTTTACTCAATCCAGGGGTATAGCTTATGAATCAAAAGTTCAAGAGCAAATAAATATGTTGTCATTGGATGTGATTGAGGAGGACTTTATTGGGATAGAGTAAATACCCCTAGTGAAGAGAAAAAAAGGAGAACTTCCACCCGCCTTACTAACTGTCCTTTTCAAATAGCAGGTAAGATGCTACTAGAAGATTTTTGAAAAATATTCATCAAATGTGACTCACATAATCATGGAGTTTTTAAAGATATCTCTGGGCACCCATCCGAGCGAGTGTTGTCAGAAAAAGAGATCTTGGATGTAACCAATATGACTACAGCTGGAGTTCTACTTCGCAAAATAATCGCATTGATTCGGAAAAATAATTCTGATTCTCGGATGGTTTCTCGAGATGTTTACAATAGGAAAAGAAAAATTGCAAAGGAAAACCTTCAAGGGCGTTCTATCATTCAAGTCCTATTTGAAGAATTTAGTGAGGCTGGATATCTGTTTGATTATAAGCATGACGGGAAAGGTAGTTTAACTCATGTTTTTTTTCACATTCTGAGTTCATTACATTGAGTAGAAGTTATTCAACTGTTTTTGTCATGGATTGCATATATAAGACCAACCGTTATAAAATACCATTATTTGAGATTTTTGGTATGACTAGTTTTAACACGTCATTTTATTCATACTTTGCATTTTTAAGAGGAGAAGGGGAGGGAGATTATGAATGGGCATTATATGCTTTTGATAGAATGCTCGGCGACGGAATTTGCCCTTCTGTTATTACAACTGATAGAGAATTAGCACTGATAAAAGCTATTAAAGAGGTTTTCCCAACTGCTTCAAATTTGTTATGTGTTTGGCATATTGAGAAGAATATTCTTGCCAAAAGTAAACCTCATTTTGAAAAAACAAAAGAGTGGGAAGATTTTTTGACAGCACGGAATAGGGTTGTGTACTCTTCTACAGAGGAGCTTTCAATCAAGCATGGCATGAGATGGAGCTTGTAGTCAATAGAAAGGAAAATATTCTTAATTATCTTGGGGATACATGGATTCTATACAAGGAACATTTTGTTAGTATATGGACAGATAGAAAATTGCATTTTGGAACCCGTTCTTCATCAAGAGCAGAAGTTGCACACTCAAATTTGAAAGGATACTTATTCGTCTCTACTGGCGATTTGTTGGGGGTCAAGCAGAAAATGTCTCTTCTTCTTGAAAATGATCTTAAGGAAATTAAAGCAAGGATAACACAAGAAAGGATTCGAGTTCCTCACAAGTGCAATGTTCCCCTTTGTCTGACAAGTTGCGTATCGTTGTCATTGTTTGCCTTAGATAAGTTAGAACAACAATTTTGAGATGTTAAAAAATCAGAAGATGAGTATGACATGCAGTGGTAGTTTCGCGACCACAATGGGATTACTTTGTGCATACATGATGAGTTCCTGGATAGGAAAATCAATACCTTTAGCATCTATACATCCGCAATGACGCATTGACACTGCGAAGAAACATATTGAAGAAACATTACATGAACTCGTTAACGAAGAGGAGTCTCCATTGAATTTTGACCAAGAGGTGCAACAAGGTAGAGGAAGACCATCTAAAGCAAAAAAAGAAAAAGGGATTCAGTTCAACAACTAGAGGCCCGTCACAATTTGAAGTTGTTGAAGCAGGATTGAGGAGAGCAACTCATAGATGTGGAAAAGGTAGTAGTCACACAAGCCAAATCGCCACCATTAATTTGAGTGAAGATCAAATCCCAACATATCTAGATGATAGAGATCCAATGAATTTTGTTGATTTGAATTTCCCACCTACTCCACGTGATGAGTTTCAATGGCATTGAAACATGATTTCAGGTATTCATTGTTGTTTGGTTAACTTTTGGTGTTTGATTTTCATCTAAACCCATTACAAATGGCAATCAAATTTATGTTTTGGTTTCATGTTGCAGGTTTGAACTTGCTGCTACCTTATAAAAAAGAACTCCATATAAATAAAGATTATTTGCAGCTGATTTGTGTGCTTTGCAAATGTCATTGGGCAATGATGTTACCTCTTGGATGCTTCTAGTATTTCTCCAACTGTTTTATGGTATTCTGCAGCAACAAAAATTATTAAGTTCTTGTCATTCTATTAGCAAAAACAAGAAATGGGTAGTTCTTTACTTTTTTGGATGCTCATTATTTTATTAATGCAGTTTATGGTATTTTAAATTTGTTTGCAAGCTCGTTAGTGCAGAGCAATTTTATATGTATAGCTCTGGTCTTTGATTCTTAAACGGGACCCCATAAAGTTAGTTTTGGATCAAAGCATTTATAGTCAAGTAAAATCAACAATAATGTATTTTGGATCAAAAGTATTTAAAGAATAGCCAAACAGGAGAGAAATTTATTCAGTTTTTTGAGATTTGGGAGAGAGTCATGAGAGAAAAAAAAAAATGAGTTGACTTTATAAGGGTATGCTTGGAAAAGAAACGCAAGTTTTGATAACCTAATGAGATGGAATGGAGGCTTTGTAAGGGTATACTTTGTAAGGGTATGCTTGGAAAATAATGGTAATATCACTTGCCTTAAAATTGGTATAATCTAAGATGTAATTGCTCAAGATAAGCTTGCAAGAAGAACTAAGGCTAAAGTCCATAAACTAACAGGGACAAAGCCCATAGGAACTGGATTGTACCAGTAGAGTTGGTCAAAACAAATGGAAAATGCACAAATTTTCAACTACAGTTATTCTTATTTGCAGCGCCAAATTAGCAATGAAGCTTCTTAAAACCCTTCACCAAAGTTACCCCAAAAGAGAGATGAGATAAACCCTTTTCATGGCGTAATTCATTGCAATTCTTGAAATCTTTTCTGCAAAGTTGTTCAATGGCTTCTTCATCACTCGCCAATTTCTCGCTTTATGCTCACTCAAGCCTCTCCAGAAATCTGAAAACCACCCCATATCGAACTTCACAAATTTCACCCAATTCATCATCCATTTCAATCATCCCGTTCCATAACAAGAATGAGAAGAGACCCTTATGTTTTAGCCTCAAGCTCCAATGCACTCCTGCAAGACCCACCTCGATTCTTGCCTCAAAAATCGATTCTTTATCATCCCAGAAGAATATTTCAAGAACTATCACTGAAAAGATTTTGACTTTATTTCTTGGATCATTGATTTTCGCGGGTAGTTTAGGTGCTAGGACAGTTTTGGCGCAACCAGTAAGTGAAGAAACCAGTCAGAGTGAACATCTTGAGGAAAAGATAGAAGCCCAGGTTGATGAGAGTGAAGAGGAGGAAATGTATGTGAAGCTTTTGGAGCGGAATCCAAGAGATGTTGACGCTTTGAAGATGGTGGTGAATTTGAAGATGAAAAATGGGAAGACTAAGGAGGCTTTGGGATATGTGGAAAGGTTGATTAAGATTCAGCCTAATGAGATGGAATGGAGGCTTTTGCAGGCTCTTTGTTATGAAATGATGGGACAGTTGGGTATGGCGAAGAAATTGTTTAAGGATATCCTGAAGCGGAGGCCTCTTTTGCTCAGAGCTTTGCATGTATGATCCTTCCCTTTTCATTTTCATTCTGTTTGCTTATCATAAGGCTAATTTGATAATGTCCGGTTGTGTATAGTTGGAGAGATTTTGAGTTGTTTGTTTGTGCTGTTAGTATTATGTGTCTGAATTAAATTTCCTCGAAGTCTGAGAATCTATTAGGAATCATGGTGTTTAAAGTAGGTTTCGAAGCCCCAATGGGATACATTGTGATGTCCTGATGTCTGATGATATGTTTCAAATTAAGAACTTGTAGTGACTGGTGAGCTTTTGGAAAGGAGAATATTGATATGCCCAACACTCAAGGTTGCTAATGGCAATAACTGCTGCCTCTTTTGTTTGCATTTCTTAACTTTTTATTTGACGAAACTTGCTGAAGATGTAGCAAGCAGTTCCTCTGCTATCACTGTTAAAATTAATATTGATGATGAGATGCCTGATGGAGATGGAGTAATCCAATATGTGGTTTACGCACGTTCTATACTTCCGAAGTACTTTTACTAGGAAAAGAGGAAGTAAATAAGATGTTTTTTTCTGCCTCTGCGAACTAAGAACATGGATATTAAAGTTTCTCATCTAGAATTTGGTTATCGAGTCCTTAATCTGGCAAAGCCTTTTCTATGTCTTATTCTGCCATCTGCTTTTTTTTTTGTCATACTATGAAGTTATCTCTTTGGTTGGTGTTCCTTTTTCTGCTTCTGATACATCATAGTTTTCTTCCCTTTTAGGGGTTGGCTATGGCGATGCACAAGAATCATGAAGGACCTGCAGTTTTTGAGATGCTGGAGAGGGCACTTGAATTGGCTCGTCGTGAAACCAGAGTGATTGAGGAGAGAAACATAAAAATACTAATTGCACAAATGTACCTTGTTAAGGTAATACCTTGGGGTATCTTTGCCATTGGATTTGCAAGTCAATTCAATATGCTGAAATCTGTAGAAGTCTTTGGGGTCACTATGTTTATTGTTTAGGCTGTAGCGTAAGGTATTTACTTTCCCTCATATGATATGTTTTTCTTCATAGGGAGACTTGGAGGAGGCCTTGGAAAAATTTCAGATTCTTATTGATGAGAATCCCAGAGATTTTCGCCCGTACTTGTGCCAGGTATGATGAATGATGTCCCTTTTATTGTTGTTAGTTGTGTTTTATTTACTTTTCTAGTGCAACTTGTATTCCTGCAACATGCTTTCGGCTGTTTAAAACTTTTAGCCACCTGCTTGTTTCCAATTTCTAATGTACAAGAGACGTCTCTTACTTATAGAGTTTACTGGTCTCATGCTTTGTTGTCATCAAAACAAATCTTTAGTATCTAAAGTGCAGAGAAATTCCATTAATGATCAAATCAGGCTAGACAAAGAACATGAGGATGATTGCATCTAAAATCGCTAGTACATAAAAGATTTATATTTTGGGGTATTGAGCTCAATGAACGCTCTACTACGCTATTTTAAAGATGCAAAATAACTAGGTTGAGTCTCAGTTTCGTATAATCATTTATAGCTCTCTGTGCCATCCTCTCCCATGAAAAAAACTTCAGGAATCCTTCCTTGTAAATGACTCTTCCGCTAAAAAGAATGCCAGAATGTGACCTTTCTGGGAAATGCAATGGGCTTCGGTCACCAAAGCTGGGCCGGCAAGCTGCTGTCACGGCGTAATGTTAGGCTACAGCCCCCAGGGCACTATCATAATATCGCACGTTAACTAGGATGACTGGCCTTCAGCCTTCTTGGGCATAATTTTTTCATCGTGCAACCTGTTGCTATACATATTTCAGTCATATTCTTCGATTTAAAGAGTGTAGTTCCATATCAATTATGTCCGTTTACCTTACATACGATATAGTTTTATTGACCATTTATTAATTTAACTTTGGCAGGGGATAGTTTTCAGCCTACTTAACAAAGGGAAGGAAGCTCAGGAACGTTTTGAGATATATCAAAGTCTTGTTCCTGAAGGATTTCCTCAGAGGAAATTCCTTGACGATGTCATGCTGGCTGCCAAGACCGAACCACGACATAAGCTCGAAAAGGATTTGCAAGGCTAGCTTTTAGGAACCATATTTTGTAAGGATGAGCATCGATTGTTTTTCTATTTGTTTGTGTCTAAGTAGAGTTCTAGTTGTGCCAAGTTTTGTACAGGGAACACCATTTTCAGACCGGGATGAATGAACCGCTGGAGCTTTTGCCATCATTTTGCGTTGGTAAAACCAATTAAATGAACTCATTAATACGAAAATTTTTATCATCCCTTTTGATAGTATTTTGATACACGCTCGGTCCTATAATTATTGTCCAGTTTGAGTCTTCATTTTTAGTTCAAACTGTACTAAAAGTGAAATCTCAAACTGGATAATAATTTTAGAACAGAGAGAGTAATATTTTTCCTAATGAACAAGGGAGTGAAGAGATAAAAGTGTAACTCATTAAAAAAAAAAGGAAAAAAAAACATTTCTCATAGCTATGAATCAACGCGTCAGTCGTCTTCTTTTTCTTTTCTCCCTTAATTAATCGGTTCCGCTCCTAAAGAAGATTTCTATAATGACTACATTAGTAAATCTAGTTAAGATTGATTCAATGGGCAAATAAACCCAATCGAAACTCATATATTCAAGCAATCGAATATGGGCTAAATTTAAATTAGTACTCTTTGAATAACATTTTTACTACACTTGTTATTAATGCTTGTAAAGCCACTAATATTTCAATAAAACAAGGTTCATACTTCAAAATTTACTCAATCAAAACAACACATTTGTTTTATTTATTTTATTATTATTTTTTTGTGTGAAGGTAACAAGATTTTATCTTTAAATCAATCCTGTTTTACCAAAAAAAAAAAAAAAAAAAGTAAAATCGGAAAGTAGCAACATAAGAATATTAATTTTAAATACTGTATCTGTATGTTGTGTTAAGAATAAGTTTTGACAATATTGAACCAATTTTTGAATTTTAATTATCCAGCACTTTCTAGGGAATGCACAATCCCTCCAGTTTCGGATTTTTGTTCTTTAATTTTGCAAAGGCAAAAATGAACTAAAAACAAAGTAACAAACTCAACACCAAACTACCACAAGCAATGATGATGTTGAGGCTTCAGCTTCATCTGGCGCCATCTTCATCATCTGGATTTACCTTCTTCAGTTCTTCCAGACCCATTATTCTTCCGAAATTTCACACTTCATCATTCTCCAAATCCCACAACCGGCATCTATTTCTTCTTCATAAAAATGGAAAACCCAGCATAAAATCCCCACCTTTTGCTTCAGATGTTGCAGACAACTGTTGTACTACAAGTACTGATGAAGAAGAAGAAGAGGGAAATGGAGCCGTAAATATCAATCCAACTGTGAAAATAGTTGCTCTGGTTGGGGATGGTAGCATCAGCCCTATTAAGTCTACTCCTTGGTTCGATGTCCTGCTTCATACGGTGAGTTGATTTTTCCTATCGTATTCTCCTTTATCTTTTTTATTTTTTTTATATTTTTTTTGCAGTGATTTTATGATAATAATCAAGAACTGGAAGAGGGGCTATGTTCAAAATTGTTTCTTGGACAATACTGCCTATAGCTTTTTGTTATTTATCAGTTTTTTGTTCTAGTGTTTTGTTAGTGATGCATGTGTTTATCGGACAGAATTTTGCAGGAAGAAGAACAGGAAGATATAAGAAGTAGGTTATATAAAAGATGTTAATTTTCAGTAGTTGCCAAAGATGTCTCAAGATATAGTTGGACTTTTGGCCTTTGTGATTGTCCTTCTTAGTGAGTATTTTGTTCTAGTGATTTATTGTTGCTTTTTTAATTGGTCTTCCTTTTACACAAGGTGATATAGTCCTAGTTTTTGTTAGCTGGAGTGGTATAGTTGCATACGTCAATCGTAAATGTAATTGTCCAAACAGAAGTGCAACCATGTGAATTATTGATATCAGCTGAACTAATTATTTGAGTGTTTTTGCTTCTTAAATTATCTTTTGAAGATTCTCCATGCTTCAAACTTTGCTGATTTTTTGAATAATGTTTATTCCATTATTGAGGTTGTGCCATGGAGTAAACTCATATCCTTTATATTCAAACTCATTTTGCTGTTATGTATTTTCTTTAAGAGGTTTATCTAGATGCCGTATTATATGATCATGTAGCCACCTTATTCTGATCTGAATTAAGTTTGAGGTATACATTCTCCATGCTGGGGAAGATTGATTAAATTAGTCTTCTTACAGATTATCTGAAGGGTCTTTTCATTTTTTGCTACTTCTTATTAACGTGTAATGTACCTTGATTCCTTGTTGGGTTCGGTTCTGCTGTCTGTAGCTTTACTGATATGTTGGTTGCAGGCAAAAAGATTGAAATGGGTTGATGAAAGCTTTGAAATGCTGGTATTCAGTGATAAACTCATTCAAGGGGATCGCCGAGCTACAGAGAATCTACATGAGGTGGTTACACAAGTTGATATTTTGTTGATTGTTGCAGTCACCAATCAAGAAAGTGTTAACTGGGTGGAAACAAACAGCAGAAATGTCTCAAACATATTATGTTTTGAGTGCTCTCCAGTGTTGAAAAACAAACTTGGAGGAACAGTAATAAATAGAGAACCTAGTGGCAATGTGTTTGATAAATTAGCAGCAATTTCTGAATCAAAGAGGAGAAAGGAATCAGTGGAATTGGTACAAACTGTTTCGGAGGCTTGGGATAGGCATAATTCAGATGATATTAGATTTTGTCTGTTAGTTGTTATCAATGCCTATATAAGGCCAGTCCCCATCCTGAAGAACCTGAGAGCAAAAGGCTTCTCCACCTTGAACTGCATGGTGAAAAGTTGTGGCCCTCAAATACTGAACTGCTTGCTGGATCCTAATTGTAGAAAAGCTCTTCAATGTTTGAATCAGTGCAGTCCAGTGGATCAGGTCTGTAACTACAGATGTATTGCTTCATACGAGAGTCGTTATTTGGAGGAATTTTCTCTATGTGTGTTACAGAAGAACAACTGTTTGGAGTTGGATGCTAAGATCCCTGAAAAGCCTTCTGTGCCCCCAATGACAAAATTCAGAGGTGACAGCCTCAGTCATGAAACAGCTGAAGATCTTTTTGTCGGTTGGTTAGGGAAATTGGAGTGGAGTTGGCGTGTGGTTGCCGGGCAGAACCCAGCCTATGATCAGTTCCCATGCCAGTACCAACTCTTTTATAGAGGGAAGGCTAAAGGATCATTCTGGTACGAACCGGTTTTCCAAGTCAGGACACTTGAAGACGGGAGATTGGTCTGGAGAAGGCGAAGATACCGAGTCAGAAGAGGGAAAACCCCGGGCACATTTTTCTTCAGCGTCCTGGATAATGGCGTGGTTTCGAACGAGTTTTGGACCATTGTGGATGTTGCTGATGACTTTAGCTGGGGTTTATTTCATTATCACGGAGCTGCTCGAGTCGCAGGACAGTCCTACACAGGTGCAGTGCTTGTTAGCCCTGATGGTGCATATCCACCTGAAGCTGAAAGGAAAAGATTGTCATTAGCATTGGATAGATGTGATATCAAAGACTGGGAGCTTTATGATGTCGATAATTTTTCGTGTAAAAATCCACCTTTGGGTCTTCCGAAGGGTTCAAGATTACATAGTATGATTATGATTTAAGGTATTTCAGGAGAAATGTTCAGTTCTGAGGAAAGCATTTGTCTTGATCTTGAACTGCTATTTTGTCTGGTTGAGTTCATTCAGCTCAATTTAGTACACTAGAAAAGGTTTACGTTCTGACATGATATCCTCATCACTAAAATTTAGTAGAAATTCATCAATTTTCGCTTGCTAAAAAAAAAAAAAAAGTCGTCAAAATAAATAGTAATTCTTCTAATTGGAAGAATAGCTTAAAAGAAAAGTAAAAAAGAAATGCACCAGCCGGGAATCGAACCCGGGTCTGTACCGTGGCAGGGTACTATTCTACCACTAGACCACTGGTGCTTGTTGGTTCTAACCGCCTTTGCTTTTTTATATATTGTTTGAAGATATACGCTCCAACTTTTTCCTCCTCTCTTTTTCACCAATAGAACATAAAATTACCTATTTATAGCGTAAATATTCAGTGCACATGTTGACAAAAATCAAATAAAAATAATTGGTTGATTACAAAATCCACTTCCCAAGAAAATCGGCGACTTTTCTCCAAAACAAAAGAACCCAGATATATCATTGAATGATTTTTAACGAAACCAAAACGAGCATACTCAATTTCATTCTGACAACTAATTTTGTCCTAATTGATCGGTCCATATTACATGACCAATCAATTTAAATATCCTCAGCGATTAAAAAAATGTGCATTTCGATCTAATTCTACAATTTTATCATTGTTTAGTCTTTTGTTTGTGTTAAAAGTTGTCCTTATGAGATATTAATGTAACATGGTAACTTGCAAATTATCACAGTTTAATATAGTTGCGTTAGTTTATAAAGGGGCAAGTAGACAACTTATCAATTGTAAATTTGATTGGTAGTTTAAAGCCCAAGGATAACCTTAGAGACATATTTCAATTGCATTCTTTGAGGAAATTGGGAGTATTTTATGACCCTTTAGATACAAGATTACGCTCATTTATGGATTGGGAGGTGAATTCTTTTAGTGACTTTCTTGGAAAACAAGCTTTTGATGAGAAAATATGTTACATATCTTATGTTTTAATATTATTATCCAATTTGGACTTTCACTTTTAAAACTCACTCACAGTATATGATTTCGTAAATTCACCTAACTTATAATTCCAAGGTTGTTCTATTAAAACACCCTAACAGAAAGACAAATGCAAAGATTATAAACTGAAAATCTTCATAATATCCTAGAATAACACATACTTAACGGACAGTCAAGAAGAAATCCTTAATTTGTTATAGTTCAATATGAGGAATTATAAGCATAACCGACATAGAAAAAAGAAGGCTACTGAGTCCGTCCTCCTTTGTACTTTTCATATGCTCATTCTGATATTCTGCCTTTGTCATTTCCTATATATACACCACATCATCTTTGCCATACTTGGAGATCAAATTCTGTAGTTGCCATTTCATAATATCCTCACCAGGAGACAACCTTACTCCATCTAGTCTTCTCTATGTGGTAAACTTTTTAGACACAATGCATGATACCCATGTCAAACACACCTTTTCTAAGATTGCAGCAAAGCAGAATATTGAAAAAACAGTATGTATGTATTAATTATAACATCCCAATCTCATAGACTGGCCCTACAACTTTCAAGCTTTTGTCCTCGCTAGCCCAAAATGGTTAACCTAAATTGTTAGTAGTTTATGAGTCTGAGACTTATATACATGTCATTCACTTTATCAGGTAGCGATATGAGATAGGATATTACAGCGCACTCCCTTTGGATCTTTGTGTCCTCGCAAAGCCTAACAAGCAAGAATGTGGCCCAGTCTTCCCTCGGAATAGGACTCTAGAGGTGGCTCCCGTGCTTCGCACTTGTCCCGTCTGCAGGCTCAGTGGTGTCTCTGCACTTGTCCTGTAAGTGGGCTCAGAGGTGTGTCAGCACGTAGCACTTAGCTCCTAAACCAGGGTCCGCTCTGATACCATTTGTAGCATCCCAGCCTCATAGACTAGCCCAACAACTTTCAGGCTTTCGTCCTCGCTAGCCTAAAATGGTTAGCCTAAGTTGTTAGTAGTTTATGAATCTGAGACTTATATACAGGTCATTCACTTTGCCAGGTAGCGATGTGGGATAGGATGTTACAGCGCACCCACTTTGGATCTTTGCGTCCTCACAAAGCCCAACAAGCAAGAATGTGGCCCAATCTTCCCCCAGAATAAGACTCTAGAGGTGGCTCCCATGCTTTGCACTTGTCTCGTCTGCAGGCTCAGAGGTGTCTCTGCACTTGTCCCGTCACTGGGTTCAGAGGTGTGTCCGCACGTAGCACTTAGCTCCTAGACCAAGGTCTGCTCTGGTACCATTTGTAATCCCAGCCTCATGGACTGGCCCAACAACTTTCAAGCTTTCGTCCTCGCTAACCCAAGATGGTTAATTTAAGTTGTTAGTAGTTTACGAGTTTGATACTTATATACAAGTCATTCACTTTGTTAGATAGCAATGTGGGACATGATGTTACTGCCCACCCACTTTGGATATTTGCGTCCTCGCAAAGCCTAACAAACAAAAATGTGGCCCAGTCTTCCCCCAGAATAAGACTTTAGAGGTGGCTCCCATACTTCGCACTTGTCCGGTCTGTAGGCTCAGCGGTGTCTCTGCACTTGTCTCGTCAGTGGGTTCAGAGGTGTGTCCGCACGTAGCACTTGGCTCCTAGACCAGGGTTCGCTCTGATACCATTTGTAACATCCTAGCCTCATAGACTTGCGTAACAACTTTCATGCTTTCGTCATCGCTAGCCCAAAATGGTTAACCTAAGTTGTTAGTAGTTTATGAATCTAAGACTTATATATAGGTCATTCACTTTGCCATGTAGCGATGTGGGATATGATGTTACAGCTTACATCCTTTGGATCTTTGCGTTCTCGCAAAGCCCAACAAGCAAGAATGTGACCCAGTCCTCCCCCGGAATAGGACTCTAGAAGTGGTTCCCGTGCTTCACACTTATCCCGTCTGCAGGTTCAGCGGTGTCTCTGCACTTATCCCGTCAGTGGGCTCAGAGATGTGTCAGCACGTAGCACTTAGCTTCTAAACCAGGGTCCGCTCTGATAACATTTGTAACATGCCAGCCTCATAGATTGGCCCAACAACTTTCAGGCTTTCGTTCTCGCTAGTCCAAAATGGTTAACATAAGTTGTTAGTAGTTTATGAGTCTCAGACTTATATACATGTCATTCACTTTGCCAGGTAGCGATGTGGGACAAGATGTTACACTAATCATCGTAGCAAGTTTCTAAAAGTACGTACATGTGGATCATCTTAGCAAATACTAACCTACTTTTTTTTTTAATAAAAAAATCAATAATATTATTCTCCACTTACACACTATGTGACTCGAATATGTAACCTATTGAAAATAGAGAAAACACTTTATCATTAGGCTGCATCTCAATGTCAGTATAAACTTAGTTTATTTTGATTTTATCAACGAATAATTATTTATTGAGAAAAAAAAAGGAAAAAATTTGTCTCCTACCTTGTAAAATTGAAAATAATAAGAATGAAGCCCTTAATGTTTTCCTGTGGTAAACTGGTGATGTTGTCATCTATTCGTAATTGTTTCGTAATGCTTGCTTAGTCGTCGTCATCGACTCTGAAATTGTTTGAATTGTCTACAGACTATTAAAATGCAGGCGCCATCTTTTAACATTTTGCTACGTTTAACGATGTATGTGGAAAATCAAATCAAACGCAGTTAGTTCGATTGGAAGATTATCCTCAACAAACACAGAGTCATTTATTAATAGCTAACAAAGTTTTTGATTGAAAAGAACCATTTGCCAGATATTTAAAAATGTTTTAGTTGACTGAACATCAATTTAATTTACTGTCTATTTCACAGTTTACCTCACTTTTTTTTTTTTTTTCAAAAAATGATAATTCCTTTGTCCCCAAATAAAAATTTGGGTTGTCATTGTACACACGAATAATGACTACAAGGCTACTTATTTGAAAATTTTGAAACTTTTGGATTTGTTATTGTCTCAAATAAAAATATCGTTTGTTATTGTATATCGAATTATAATGATTATTACAAGGCTAATGAAAAATTTTGAAGACTGATCTACGTGTTTAAATGCAAGGAAGGGGAAGTAAACAGCGCATCAACCAAGTTGAAAAGTAATATAAAGACCAGTGTATCCAAACATCTTCAACGAATATTTCCAATTTTCTATATTTTGGGCTTTATTTTTTTTAATTATTTATTTCAGACCCTGAGTTAGGAGAAGAAAATTCATCATGACGTGAAAGGGCTAATGACGAAGGTATGACCGTTTAATGACGACTATAAATTTAGTCTTCATATGTAACTAGTACGTAAATTCATCGGTGTCCTTAGTTCTCACAGTTAGCCCTTAACGGAAAGTACTACATATTGTGAATCAACAATTTTTCATCAACTCAAAATATTATTACGAGGCAATGATGTTGAGCATGACCTCATCACATTTTTTTTCTATTTTCTTTATTTAAATAAGCAACAATAGACACTTTAGTTAAAAATTGCTATGTGTAGTATTGTTACAGTAAATACAACCGACACGCTCAATTTATCTTTAGTTAAAAATTGTAACGTGTAATGTTACAGTAAATATAACCGACACGTTCAGCTTATCTTTTATATGGAGATGATAGATGAATCAGATTCAGAAAATACGTTTTCGATTGTCACAATCGCAATTTTTCAAAAACCCAAATCGGAAATCTCTCTTTTTCCGAAAAGTACAAAGATTGTAGTAATGAAAATGCCCATCTCAACTGTTTAAACATATATGTCGTTTTTTCAAAACTTTCAAATAATTAACCCGAAAATTAGTTTTCATAATAATGCGACAAATTGGATTAATTTCAGCGAGTTTGACGACAACTCCACATTTGCATTTAAGTCAAAAGCTAACCAACTCAACCGTCAACGCCTCAATTGCTCTATAAAATACCCGGATATTCTTCTTCTCCGGCATCGCCAACTTCTCTGTTCTCATAACTCTACATTGTGATTCAATCAAAGCCAAAAAAAGAAACACAAAATGGCCACCAAACTCTACATTGTGTACGTTTCATCTCACCTTTTTCTTCAATCTCCTTTTGAAAATCCCTTCAGATCAGTCCAGAGTTCTCTTCTCTGTTTTTCCGGATGATCGTGGAGCTAGTTTCCTGAATTTTATTTTATTTTATTATTTTTAAGTTTTGATTTTTCCCTGAATTATTTTTGTTCTGGTGTTACAGTTACTACAGCACCTACGGACATGTTGAAAAGCTTGCCAAGGAGATCAAGAAAGGAGCCGACACTGTTGAAGGTGTCGAAGCAACTCTGTGGCAGGTAATCAATTTACAGAATTAATCCTAAATGGCATTCAGGGATTTGGCCTAATTTTAACTTATGAATGAAAATGTATGATTTCATGGCTTGGCTGATTTTTTTTTGGTAATGATCTGATGATAGGTGCCAGAGACACTTTCAGAAGAAATTCTGGGAAAAATGAACGCCCCACCAAAGAGTGATGTCCCTGTAATCACTCCCAATGACCTTCCTGAAGCGGATGGATTCATTTTCGGGTTCCCGACTAGATTCGGGATGATGGCTGCTCAATTCAAAGCCTTCCTGGATGCAACCGGTGGGCTGTGGGGTACCCAGAAGCTCGCCGGAAAGCCTGCCGGCCTCTTCTACTCTACTGGATCTCAAGGAGGTGGTCAGGAGACTACCCCGTGAGTTAATTCAATTAATTAATTCAATGTTTTTTTTTTACGTTTATGAAGTTTAATTGGCTAAATTCCCATTGTTGCAGATTGACCGCAATCACTCAGCTCACTCACCATGGAATTATGTTCGTGCCAATTGGGTACACCGCCGGAGCGGGCATGTTTGAGATGAGCCAGGTGAAGGGTGGAAGCCCATATGGTGCCGGAACTTTTGCCGGAAATGGATCCAGGCAGCCAACTGAGCTTGAGCTTGCCATTGCCCACCACCAGGGAAAGTACATTGCTGGCATTACCAAGAAGCTCAAAGGATCCGCTTGAGTGAATCAATAATAGAAATTAAGTTCCATCACCAATAAAGTTTACAATGTTGTTTGATTTTCAGGATTTATAGTGTTCTCCTTTTCCCTGTTGTTGGATCTTCTCTTTTTTGGGTTACCAATGAAACTCAAATCTCAGTTCTTAGTTTAATTACGTGTTCTTGATACATTTTTACTTCTAATCATCCAATCATATAGCATAACATTTTGCAATCTATAATTATTTTAAAAAGTGTAACTAATAGTTTTTTTTTAAATATAATATCGTCTGCCAGAAAAGAAAATAAAAGTAATATCGGTGAATCGTGGATTAAAGGTATGAAAGTTACAGCTAACGAATTAATCAAGATCCAAGAAGATGAATTGAGGTGTCGAACATGACCCTAGTCGACGATCTATCAACTACAGATTCTAGCCCTAATTATTCCTATTAATATTAATTTAAATATAGGGAGTGATTATCAGATGAGTGAATGGTTCAGTTAGTTAATAATAACCATTGGATCATAACAAGTCATCATAACAACGAGATTTAGTAAGGATGTATCATACAAAATTTGAAGTCTCATTTACAAGATAATTTTCTACTACTGGCAACTTGTACCGCCGGTCAATTTTTTTTGCTTTTTTCTAAACCAATTTCTTCAAGCCCGCTCTTCCTCGGTCTCCTCCAGCTTCTTCATCTATGAGACTTTTTTATTTTCTATTTTTACTTTCGGAGATTTTTTTTTTTTTTTTTTTCCCTTTTCCTCCTTCTGAGACGTTAAAGTCGGGCTTTATAATTGTGGAGGTGCATGATATATATATTTTTTTCAAGATTTGTGTTTTTGATAGCTATCCGATGGTGATAAATCATACACCGGAAATCGCATCAGGAGCTAACTTTGCAATTAGTGTTGCAATAACACAAACCTAAAGCATAAAAACGGAAAGGCCAAAAGGGATGTTTGCATCTTGCAAAAGATAGTTTGAAGATGCTCAATATTCAGCCCAGATATTAAGATATAAGGCTTATGGCATCTCCTCGTTCTCCAGATCATTTAGACATCAATTTTGCACTATCATACAAGTCTTCTAATATGATTCTGGAGAAGTGAAATCCAAATTTAGATTATTTACTGACCAGAATTAGTCTTCTGCAACAGGGCTGCTTAATTGAAGTGGCAATTCGAAGTCAACTTGTCACAAAAGGATTTAATTGTATTAAAAAATGCACATAGGGAAATTAGTTGAGACCATAGAAGATAAATTAAATCTAACTCTATCAGGTTATCTTTACAATAGGTTAATGTAGTTTTCATCTTTATTAAGTAACATGATCAACCGGTTGGATAATGTATGGCTTTTATTATAATACATCTTGTTCTAGTATCACATGTGACATGTTAAATTATGATCGGTCTTATATTGACTAAATATTTTGTCCAAAACTACTAAATGGACACTAAAATTTTCCTTTATATATATACACACATACACACAGACACACACACACACATATATATATCATGTAGAGCTGCTCCCATTTCGAGTCAACATATAGATTGTTGAGTATTCCATATCGATGGTGAGAGAGGTTTGATATCAATATATAAGTCTATGGACTACTCCCCTAATTGCCAATGGTTTTGAGGTGGAACCCCATGAGCTTCTATTTGTTATCAGAGCCAGCCCACCAAGAGTCGGACTCCATTAAGCTTATTGTGATAGAATTGGTAGGACTGAGACGTGAGGCGGTGACTGGGCTGAAGAAAAAATAGACAAGCCCAACCCAAGAAGATGCGTTGGACTTGCGGGGGAGTGGAGTATCCCACATCGGTGATGGGAGAGATTTGATATCAATATATAAGTTTATGGGCTACTCTTCTCATTACCAATTGGTTTTGAGGTGGAACTCTATGAGCTTCTATATACTCAACATAGATAAATAGACACATCCCATTGCACTGATTGGGAGCCTTCATAGTGACTGAAGGGGTCGAAGACCAAGAAGTGAGTTATTTATACCAAGCATTCTTACAAGCATTCTTCTTATAGCTAGATTCAATCTCCCGGTCCCTGCGTAAAGGAAAAATAATTTCACGTTCTTCCTTTTGAGAAGGAAAAATTAGGTAAATCCTATTGATTGTAGCTTTCTCGAGACCTTTGGTACGGAATTGCTTTCTTTGTAACAGCAAGGCATGTACGAGTTAAATATATCAACGATAAAAGTAATTATATATGTCTATTATAACATAACTCATTTGAGATGAAACAATAATTTATCTTTTAGTCTCGCAAAATTGCATACGAAATTCTCACACACTCCCATAAAATAATTCATATTATAAATTGTACTACCAGAATTTACAACGTGGACAACTTTTTGCAACACATAAGTATATGGTATGTCTATTAACTCAGTTTAAATAAGAAATTATAGGCAACTACTTTTGGGCAATTGATGCATTGATCAAAGGAGTGGAACTTGGTTACAACATGATATTATAAGGGTTGCATACTCTAAAAATGTACGAATTTAGACAATATGCTCTCTTATTGTAACAAAAAAAGGAGTTGAATTGCGTATAAGAGAAAGAAAGAAAAAATAAAATAAAATGATAGGAAAATAACGACAGATATATTTATAACATCTGTCCAAACATATTTAACTAACGAAAATTCACGAGAAAAAAAATACAAAGAAACTTACTCATCGACTCAAATCAAACACACACAAGAAGCACGACTAAATGCAAAAACAAAAGCCAATACTATATTACGAATAGTAATGGCTTATGTTCCTGCATGCATCCGACTCCTCATATTTATTATTGCAGAAACTTAAAAACTTACAACACCAAAAGCAAAATCACTCAAAAAACTTATTATGCATCAAACTCAAAACTTTTTTTTTTTGGTGGACGGAAAATTATTCAAATCGGAGGAATCACGAACGTACGTATGGTTGATGGATTTGGTTATATATAATAGGCCATTAGATATTGCAGTAGATATTAGTACTTGCAATACAATTCAGCTCACACTGGTGTGCGTTGTAGCAATGAAAATCGCCCTAGGGTTTGCCATGACAGAGCTTCGAAGAAGAAGAGCAGTTATTTGGGTAAAAATGCTTAGCAAATCATTAGTCATTACATGTGTCTTTAATTTACAAGTCTCTGCTACTTTTATACAGTCTAAAATCTAACCTCTTCATCTATTTTCCAGCTGTCTTTATGTACATTTCTATTCTGTATTTATGTACAATATTCCACATCAGCATCTATACAATTCATATATTTATTTACACAGTCACGTGAGTTGTAGTACTCGTTTCATTATTTCTTGATCAGCATCTAGTGACGAAGCAAATTGGTCTGATGAAGTTGACTCTTGGTCAAGATCCAAATGTTGAAACTGCTGCCTGATATCGTACCTGTTTAAAGGAATCGACCAGGCCATGACAAGGGAGGTTGTAAACTCAGTGTAGCTTCGCGAATTCGCTGTTCTTCGGTGAGTCTTTGAGCAGGAGTAATCTCGAAATCAGTCATTTTCCGGCAGAATTAAGAAAAACTAAACCGATAGAAATCAATCGGAGGTAGAATGCAGAAGAATTACGGTATCAATTTCAAGGATTGAGAGCTTATGGCTCTGATACCATGAAAATCGACTTAGGGTTTGCCATGACAGAGCTTCGAAGAAGAAGAGTAGTTATTTGGGTAAAAATGCTTAGCAAATCATTAGTCATTAAATGTGTCTTTAATTTACAAGTCTCTTCTACTTTTATACAGTCTAAAATCTAACCTCCTCATCTATTTTCCAGCTGTCTTTATGTACATTTCTATTCTGTATTTATGTACAATATTCCACATAGCACCTTTACAATTCATATATTTATTTACAAAGTCACGTGAGTTGTAGTACTCGTTTCATTATTTCTTGATCAGTATCCAGTGAAGAAGCAAATTGGTCAGATGAAGTTGACTCTTGGTCAAGATCCAAATGCTGAAGCTACTGCCTGATATCGTATAAGCAATCTGTAGCGGAACACTCAGATGGACGACAATCTACGTAGTAACAAAGTTTAGACCATTGGTTGTGACAGTTGTCACAACAACTTAAGTCGTCATCCGGCGCCGGTTCACATTTGACGCCGTCGTAAACGGTGCAGTTCGCGTAACAGCTGTTCAGGTCGTCGCAACTGGTACCCGAAAACCCTCCGCAACTACCGTAGTTGTTCCAACATCCTTTGCAACAATCAAACATATCTAGTGGCGATGCCTGAGCGTTACAAAATGTCGCTAATAGGTGCGACAAAAGCAGGATAAAAAGCAAGGGCGCCCCCACCCGCGTCCCCATTGGGGGAATTGGCGTTCTTCTTATTGATCGCCATCAAGATGAATGAATGATTTGATATGATAGCTGTAGAAAAGATTGATGGAAGTAGGAAAGGTTTTGGATTTAGATGGAACTTTTTGGTTTAACTTGTAGGTCTTAATATTGAAGAAGAAGGACGCGTTAGAAATGAACCCTAATCGTCCCCATTGTCTATTATAGAACTAAAGATATATTAGTTTTCTCATTAGTTAATTTGTGTTTATCAATGGCCAATACAAAAACCAGCTAGCTGGCCAGCTAAATTGTTTAAAATAATCTTGCAAAATGCGAGCATTTATATTTAATTAACAAACCAATGAACAATCAACATATCAGCATTCTTCTTCCTAGGTTGGAACTTACTATATCAACAATTAATATAAAAGTATAGTGTACCTTTCAAATTATTTTCCTTTGTCTACATATACAGTTGTATTAATTAGAATGTGTTAATCAAACCTCTCTCTTAGAGTTATTTCTTGGAGCTTATGTTTAGTACAATAATTTACAAAGTTGAGAATCTAAGGTCGCCCAGAATTTGCTATTCGTGCCAAATAATTTACTGTTGGCTAAATTTTCAATTGTTGCCACTAAACTCCGAACCTGGTTAAATATCACTCAAAGTAATAACTTCGTATTCTTTCC